TGTGTGTGTGTGTGTGTGTGTGTTGTGTGTGATCTACATGAGAAAAAATGAGCTGTATTAAAAATAAATCAATTACAGATAAAAATGGCAGAAGAGGTATAGAGCACAATGTAATGAACAATAAGAAAGGCTAGACATTTTGTCAAGTCCGGCAGAAGAGGTATAAGGTGACATGATCTCCCAATTTTGGATGAGATATCAAAGCATCATTGTAGTTCGCCAACCGGTGCTTCACTGAGCCATAGAAAATGGATAAAATCATACAACTTGCCACTCACACTAACCTGAACAATAGAAGTTACATAGATTGTGGTATCAGCATGATAGAAATGTTAGAATGATACAAACATTATCAAGGAAGCAGGACATCGAACCTTGTACGGTGTTGGATTTAACCTCCTCATATGATCGGACCTCATCTTTTGTAACTGCTGCATGCAATGATTCCTCATTTCTTGCAGTGATGGTAGTTCTTCTCTCTTTTCATCTGGAAGAAAAATTGCATTGAAGATTAAACTCATTGTGCAAAAAAATCACTTCATCTCATCTCAATGTGAAACATTGTAAAAAGAAAAAAAAAAAAAGGTTGTGCGAGCTTTCTTTTGAAGAGTCAAGTGAAGATGCATACATGACTTTCCCGGCCAATAGCATTTTAGAAGCTCTTCCACACGCTGTGGCACAACGTAGGCTCTTTTAGATTCAATGAAGGGGTGACGACAAAGAATACGTTCACCAACCTGTAGACATTTGGCAAAATTCTTAGATGACCGTGATGTGAACCCTGGATGTACCATAGTTAATCTACTTATACTGTAAATGATAGTGTTAAAAGGTAGAGAGAGAATTGGAAAAAAACTTTATTTCTGTTGAGTGTTTTTTCTTAAAGCAAAAGCTTATATGTGTTTTTGCATGAGAAAGTAGATATAATTAAGGAAAATATAAGACTGGAAAATATTCTCAAAAGTGAAAAATGTTACCATAAAAAGTGTGAATTTCTATTATAAATAAGTTATGCCATGGGATAATTTAGATATGATAACACTCCCCGGCAACATTAAGAAGGCATTGATGTCAGCTTAAATTCCGAAATATTAGTGACTGGGGATGTTGTTTAACATTGGTTGCAAGTGTCTAAGAAGATGTTGACCGATCACAAAAAGAGAGTATTACAAATCAGACACAGAGCCGGCAGCAAGATCCATGTTAGAGAAGGCAGAAATAAAAATACTTCAATAGAGATATCGATAGAGGATACTGATGGAGTATCCATAAAAGTGTCAGACAAATTATATTGATAGAGGGCATCAATGTCAAGATGGATGTAGTGAGCAAAAAAGACTAAATTACCTATAATATATTAAAAATGATTAAATTTTTTTATCATTTATAGAGAAATATCGAAGTACGTGTTGGGCAATTGCTCACCCTAAGCTTAAGTAAGTTCCAACATTACATATATGGTTAAGACCAGAGAAGAGAATGATAAAAAATATATAATAATGAAAAAAATCTCAAAAAATGAAGAAATGATGGAAAAACAAATAGCATATATTACTGCAATAAATATTTTAGGGTAAAAGATAATTTAGATATAGCAACAAATATTTTGAAGTCATTAGCCCTTCAATCAGAATTCAATTTTTTGAGAATTAGTTTAAATGAATAAACCCTAGTAGTCTTTTTTCAAATTTCAGTGCAGATGATCTACTATAAACTATGTTTTATCTAAATGAAAATTTAATATTTGCAGAATGAAAGTTTTATTTAAAGAACTCGGTATTTAGACATCAAATGGAGGGAAAAAATCGATCAAAATGGGTTTTGGATAGTACCTTAGGTGATGGCTCATTCACCCCCAACATTATATCTACCAATGGAAATCCTTCACTTCCATACAACCGGAAACATTGTTTCTTACATGGTATGGAGACCTAAATGCAGCAGATAATCAAACAGCTGAGGTTCAAATTAGTAACAGAAACATTACATATTTATTTATATTTCGAACACCTAAAATTTAGTCTTTACATTTATACTTTAACTACGCTTGAAAAGGTCTATTTCACTCTTTAAAAATGAGTAATAATGATATTTTTGATGTGAAAGATTTTTAGTGTTATAAATGTACAAATCAAAGTGTAGATGTTAGATATGTAATTACAAAAGAATTATGTGGGATGTAAATGCCCCATTATTACTATATGCAAACCTTTGTAATATCCTCAGAAAGTTTCATCCGGGGTTTATTATTTATCTCAACTAATTTGAAAACACAACCAAGAGCTGCTTGAGAATAGCATGTCACTAGATGGGTTCCAATGCCATAAGAATCAATCTCATGCCCCTGCATATATATAAATAATGTAGCATAATGTGATAGCCGGCTAAAACTTTAATGCACGTATTATTATATACAAAAAATTCAAATTAATGCACCACATATTTAATCAATATATAATATACAAAGAAGGAAAACACATGCCATCCTTCACATCATGGTCCTATCAACCTTTTTTTTTTAATCAATAATAAGCTATAAACGAATTGCATATTATACCATAATAAAAATATTAGAGTGATGGCTGTCTCAAAGAAAGAACTTCTTTTATAACAGCAATTCAGGCTTCTGAAAATGCAGGCCGATGTCAAAAATTATAGCACAGCACCAGAATTATTATTGAATGCCACTATACTTGCATGTTTCCTTTTTGGCTAGTTCGCAGCTTTGATAACTTGCAGTGAATAACATTACGGCCATACCAGTGTGAACAGTCAAGTAATATTGTATTGAGCTTGTTGCTAGCAAATGATTCTACAATGACTCTGGATATCCTTGATTTAACTGGCCCTTAACTAAGTCAAAATAAAGAATAATTCTGTACAAATAGTTTTGTAGCGTAATGGTTGAGCTAGATACTAATTCGAAACAAATTATTAATCACTTGTTTATTCATAACCTTACAAATAAGTTTACAAATACTGCTTCTGAAAAAGAAAACTCATAATAAGTTTGCTGATTCAAAACCTTACAAATACGGTCTATGAAAAATGGCATAGTTGGATGACATGAATATGAAAAAGAAAACTGTCTGGATAGTAAAACTTTAATAACCAGTTAAAAAAAACATTATCATTAAATTAAAATTAAGTTATCTGTGTTGTTCGAAGGAGAAGCGATGCTCTCCGGGAATCAAAATGATAAAATTTATCCCCTCGTTTTCTATCATTGGATCCCAAAAGAAGAATCGGAATCGAGAATGACAGAGTCGAGGCAAGGCAGAGAAGAAGGAGATATTGTGTGTTTTGTCCTACCCGAGATTAGGCGTTGCTGGAAGATGGTGTCGAGGTTGTTCTGTTCGTAGGAGAAAAAGGAAATGTTGTGTGGAGCCCGGTTTAATTGATTGGGCGGTTAATTTGCTTGAGCCCGGTTTTATTGATTGGGCGGTTAATTTGCTTCTAATATTTGCCTTGAATTTTATTCCCTGCCGCCACTTTTAACTGTTCCCGCCTCTTCACTTTGAGAGTAAGGAAGGTGGGTCCCGCCACCATTTTAAGCGCAGAAAAATTGATTTTGAAGAGGGGTGTCTATAGCCATTCTTAATATATTACTTCTTCACGATTCCCTAAGTGGTTGGTTTTTAGGAAAAAGCAAAAAGATCACGGCAGAAGAAGGGAAGGAGGAACGCACGGCATCTGGCTCCCTTAGGCTTTTTCGGTGAGTTTTGGCTTACGGTGAGAATAAAGAAAGTAATAGCAAGTGCTTCTTCTCTCCATTTTTTGTTTTCTATTTTTTCGGTGTATCTCGGTGTAGTGAGAAGAAGAAAGAGTGAGAAAGTGAGAGACTTTCTCCTGTAATTGTCATTGTGATCAAACGGTATAAATTCTTCAATAAGTAAAATCCTCTGTAACTCCGTGGATGTAGGCAATTTGTCGAACCACGTAAACTTGTGTGTTCCGCTGTGAACTAGTTTTTTTTGTGAATTTTTCTCATTCTTAATTTTCGCTTCATTGTTGATCTTTTTAAATTCATATATACCACAATAACTGGTATTAGAGTCAATGGTTGCAGATGAAGTGAGGGTTTCAGGGATCGTGAAATTTGATGGCACAAATTTTGGTTACTGGAGAATGCAAGTAGAGGACTACCTCTATGGGAAGAAACTTCATCTTCCGTTACTGGGGAAAAAACCTGAAAGTATGAATGAGGTTGAATGCAACCTGTTGGATCGACAGGTTCTGGGGGTTATTCGATTGACCCTATCGAGATCTGTTGCACACGATGTTGTTAAGGAAATGATAACTGCAGATCTTATGACAGTCCTGTCAGGTATGTATGAAAAGCCATCGGCGAATAACAAGGTATATCTGATGGAAAAGTTATTCAATTTGAAGATGACGGAAGGTACGTTTGTTGTACAACACATGAATGATTTTAATACCTCACAAATCAATTATGATCTGTGGAAATTGAATTTGATGATGAGATACGTGCACTGATCTTATTGGCTTCATTGTCAAATAACTGAGAAGCTATGAGGATGACTGTTAGTAATTTTGCTAATAAATAAAAATTGAAAAATGAAGATATTCGTGATTTGATTTTGGCTGAGGAGGTGCGCAAGAAAGATTCTGGCGAGATCTCAGTTCCAGTTCAGCATTAAATGTTGATTCCAGAGGGAGATCACATAACAAGAACTCAAACAAGGAAAAATCAAAATTAAAGAACAGAAACAGGAGCAAGTCAAGGCATGGTAAACAAGTAACTTACTGGAATTATGGCAAAACTGGCCACATAAAAAGGAACTGCAGGAATCCTGAGAAAAAGGAGAATGACAGTGTAAATGTGATGACTGAAGAATCACAGGATGCACTACCGCTGACAGTTCATAGTTCTGTTGATGACTGAATATTAGATTCAGGAGCTTCTTTCCATACAATTTTTCATAGGGAATTAATGCGGAATTATTTTGGAGGTGACTTTAGAAAAGTATATCTGGCAGATGGAGAAACTCTGAACATGGTAAGAATGAGAGATATTGACATTGTACTTCCAAATAAGAATAAGTGGACTCGTGGACTTTGCAAAAGGTCAGACACATTCCTGAACTGAAGAAGAACCTTATTTCTGTTGGGCAGCTTGATGAATGTGGACATTCAATAGTTTTCTCAGATAGCACCTGGCCTGGAAGATTACTAAAGAAGCACTGGTACTGGCTCGAGGTAAGAAAACAGATAAGCTATATATGACTACTAGTTTAATTAACAATGTTGATACTACTGTTGCAGACAACACAGCAGAGTTGTGATATTACACTTGGCCACATGAGTCAAAGAGGTATGAAGGAATTTCAGTCCAGAGGCAAGCTACCAGAACTGAAGTCAGTTGATTTCAACATGTGTGAGAGTTGAATTATGGAGAAGCAGAGAAATGTCACTTTCATGAAAGGTGGCAGGATGCCAAAGACAAGAAAACTGGATCTTGTACACACAGATGTATGGGGTCCTGCTCCAGTGACATCTCTTGAAGGCTCTCGTTACTACGTTACATTCATTGATGATCATAGCAGAAAGGTATGGGTTTATTTCTTGAAATATAAATCTAATGTATTTAGTGTATTCAAGACTTGGAAGGTCATGGTTGAGACAGAGACATGCTTAAAGCTGAAATATCTGAGGTCTGAGTGAGTAGATTGATGGTCTGTACAATGTCCAAGTCAATTTGCTAAATTCATTCAAACTAATGATATATGTATGGAGAAGACCACTCCGGGGACACCACAACAAAATGGTGTTGCAAAGTGCATGAACAAGACCATTAATGAGCGGGCTAGAAGCATGAGATTGAACGTCGGACTACCACCTACTTTCTGGGCAGGGACGGTCAGTACTGCAGTTTATTTGATCAACAGAAGGTCATCTATTCCATTAAACTGTAAATTACCTGAAAAATTCTGGAGTGGGAAAAGAGATCAAATTTTTTCACCTTAAGACTTTTGGATATTTTTCTTATATTCTCATTAATCCTGATGCTCGTACTAAAGCTTGAGGCTAAGTCAAGGAAGTGTTATTTCATTGGCTATGGAGATGAGGTATTTTGATATCGTTTCTGGGATGATCAGGGTCGGAAGATCATAAGGAGCAAGAACGTGATTTTCAATGAGAAGGTTATGTACAAGGACAAGTCCAGTACAGTTTCTGAAACACTGCATGAATCTGAGTTAGTAAGATTTGATGATTTACCAGAGGTCACTGTGCAGGGCAGAGATGCAGGTGACGAGGAGAGTGTATCTGGGGTATCCACTCCTATTGTTCCACAGTCAGTTTCAGAGTAGTCTACCCCTACAATTGTAGTTCGCAAGTCAGAAAGGGTTAGATGTTCTCCACAACTTTATTCTCCAACTTTGGACTACATTCTGATGACAGATAGTGAAGAACCTTAGAGTTATGAAGAAACCTTGCAAGTTGAAAATCAGAGCAAGTGGGAGCTAGTCATGAAAGAGGAGATAGATTCTCTGCTAGAAAATCAGACTTGGGAGTTAACAAATCTTCCAACAGGGAAGAAGGCATTCCACAACAAGTGGGTATATCGGGTGAAGACTGAGCATGATGGCAGTAAGAGGTACAAGGCTAGACTTGTTGTAAAAGGTTTTCAGCAGAAGCACAGTATTGACTATTCCGAGATTTCTCTCCTGTGATGAACCTTACAGCCATCAGAATGGTATTGTCTATGGTGTCTACTGAAAATCTTTTTCCTTGAGCAGTTAGATGTGAAGACAGTCTTTCTTTATGGGGATTTTGAAGAAGACATCTACATGCACCAACCTGAAGGGTTCATGGTACAGGGAAAGGAAGAGTCAGTTTCCAGATTGAAGAGAGCTTTATAGCCTGAAGCAAGCTCCTAGACAGTGGTACAAGAAATTTGATAATTTCATGCACAGTGCAGGGTACAACAGATGTCAGACAGATCACTGTTGCTATGTCAGATATTTTAACAATTCCTACGCTGTATGTGGATGATATGCTTATTGCAGGTGCTAGTATTGAGGAGATCAATAATTTGAAGGAGCAGATGTCAGAGCACTTTGCAATGAAGGATTTTGGAGCGGCAAAGCAAATCCTTGGTATGAAAATTGTCAGAGATAGAGTCAGAGGCATGCTGAGACTCTCTCAGGCTGAGTGTGAAAAAGGTACTTAGCAGGTTCAACTTGGATAAGGCCAAACCAGTTAGCACACCCTTGGGAAGTCACTTCAAACTCAACAAGAATCAGTCACCCAAGTCAGAGGAGGAACGATATCACAGGAGTAAGGTTCCTTATGCTTCAGCTATTGGATCACTTATGTATG